CTCTCTACCTTGTGTGTGTTTGGTTTCTCTTCCTTCATTATATATGCACTCTTTTTAACACTAACTTAAAAAGACAAAATGATATTTTAAAATATTTTTAGTTTAAATATTTTATTATACACATTTATTTTGAATAGAACACTCATTTTACTTTTCTTAAAAATTTATATATATTTATAAAATATTTAAATATATTAAATATCGAGAATCAAATTGTATTTAATAAAGGGAAGAATTAAAGAAATAGGTCAAATTTAAGAAAATTAAAAAAATAGACTAAGTATTTTAAAAATTTAAAAATAGTCTTCCATGATCTTTTTTTCTAATTCATCAATCATTTCTTTATGTTCTCCAAAGTATTTATTTTTTTGGACAGTGTTATTATCCTCTCTTTTGACTGCAATTTCAATAATAAAAGTTGTTTTGATTATGTAACTTAGTTATGTTGTGATATATGTGATAATGGTTGATACATTTTGATTTTTTTAGTAGCCATATTTTTTTTTCGTAACTAAAGTACCAATGAATAATTGCGACTGACTAGAAATAATTTAAAGATAAATAGTTGGGAGATGATATCAAGTTTACTCTCAATGGTGAAAGCATGGAAACAAAATTTGCCCTCTATGTAAAAGTAAAACTCACTGAAAGCTCATTTGTGTGATTTCATTAAAGTTAGTCATCTCAATTTTCTAGTTTTATTTGTTTAATATCAAATACCATTGAACAGATAAAATGTGGTATTTCAAAGAGCAAATGTATATCAATCCAAACAAAAAAAACTAATAGATTTGATGTTTGAAGAAAAGACAAAATCGAGAGAGAGAAACATTTAGCATATTTCGTTAGTTAAAATAGATGTGGCCTACTTTTTTAATTTCAATTTTTTTTTGGGTTATTTTCATAATTTTTAATAAAATCCAAAAGACTTTGTTGGAAGTTTTCGCTAATGTCTTTTAACAAAAAACAAAAAGTTGGGTATCGACGCCAAAGTTGACATTAATTTAACTATGGTTTTGTGGAACACGTTTTTTTTGGGTTTTTGGGGAAAAAAAAGTATCTTTAATTTTTGTTTTTCTAGAGTTGTTCCGATAAATATTACATTTTCATGTAAAACACTTGTTTTTTGTTTGAATATAATTTAACATTCATTTAAAAAAAAATAAAAAAAATATCAATCACTTATTATACACAATATACTTACTTACATACACTAAATCATTTTACCATCAACGAAGCGTGCCTTGCACATAGCTCACAACGGAATAGCTTTAGGCAAAGTGATCCCTTTCTCTTCTTCAATCATGTCCACAAGTTATTCACCAACTCTTTCCCACTCAAAGCACTGAATCAAACACGCAAGACCCAAACTCACTAATCTCTTCCCAAGTTTGACTCCAGGACAAGCTCTTCTTCCCATCCCAAACGGCAATAGCTTTTGAACTTCTCATTCTTTCGCGAATCTCTCTGGTTTGAATATCTCTGGCTCTTCCCATAAACCTGGATCTCTATGCATAGCTTTTGCTAACAAGATCGTGTCACGTGGCATATCGAAATCCGCCACTTTACAATTAGCCGATGAATAGTAATAGACTAGTAGAGGAAGCACATGGTACAAACGTAGTGTTTCAGACATAATGTTTTGGAGATAAAAAAAGGTTTACGT